TTCGCCCAATCGCATGCAAGACCTTGGGCATGGCGTTGAGGAAAACCGACAGAACAACAATTTCAACAGATTTCGTCTAAAACCTGTGCGAAAGTATCCCAAGATGACCATAAAAGCTGAAATATTCAAATTAGTTATGGGCAATTTATTAAAAGTCAAGCAAATAGTAAAATTTTCTGTCGGGTGCAAAACTGGAACAATCTAGTTGCTACGTTCTTTTGCAGTTTTCTTCTTTATCTGCTTGTATTAATTATTGTTTTTATGGCCTTCTGATGAAATAAACATTGGAAATGTGAATTCCGAAACTAGATTACAAAAACTTATTAAATATATCGCAAGAAAATTCACATTATGTATTACTGTTCCGGTTTTGCTCCTCAGTGTAATTCTCAAGCCTTTTTGATAACGTCTTATGCATTCCATTCAGCATTAAGAGAATTATTTGCACTGTAGAAATTTATCTAAGCTTAGTACTAACAAAAGGAATACAATCTGATCGTCGAGAATCTCACCCATGCTTTAAAGGATAAAGAATTTGAACTAATGGGTCTGTATTATTTCAAGGTCAGACAGAATCATTGTAACCGATTCTTCAATTGTATATATACTTACAAATAAATATCGAATTATCTTGAGAAATCGAAACGAAGTTAAGAGCTACATATACTTAAATAGTTGGCGTATACATACATACACACTCGTATTAATACCTGCATGCTCACCTTCTGCTTTGATTCAGCTGAATATTCCTCTCATCCCGCCATGTCGAAATGTGATGCCTCAATGTGTTGCGCACTTCGGAGTTTAGAAAACAGTAGAATAGTGATACCGCGAAACCCTGTTCAAGAAGTACAAATAAAACAATAATTGAAATAAGAACTAAGCAGGTAAAAGCAAATTTAGGTAAATTATAAACAGGATTAACGACCGTTTCCTATTTATGTATTTCCTATACATGTCGTTTTATTGTAAATACTCCACATGCAATTTCAACAATATTCCTTTTAAGGTTGGTTTTGCTTACCTGGGTACTGAGCAGCAGAGCTCGCACAACCGCGAACATGTTACTCATAACACCACTCTCGCTGGGGCCAGCTAATACCACCAAGTAGGTTATGCCAAAGAGCGGAATAAGAACCAGCAATGCCTTAGCGGCTTTACGATACTGACGCGTTTCCACGGTGTTTGCCGAGCGGAGCTTTGTTATTAACACCTGAAAATATAAAAACATAAGGCCGCATTTAATAAAATACTAACATTATACTGCCAAAAAAAAATGTTGCATCAAACTTACTCAGAAAAACTTCTGTAAATTTTACGCATGATACAAATTTCGTCAATTGCGTATAGTAATTGATATACATCAGTGGCGGATAAAGAAATTTGGCTTGAGGGAGGGGAGTCACAGATGAGTGACCTGTCAAAGTTCGAGATATATGTATGCCCTACAAGCACCCAATTGGCTTACACCCTCATTTATTTCGCATGCAAATACAAATATAATGTTTTAGAACTTTGAAGTAGGGTGTTTTATAAAAGAGTGTAAAGTGATTTTGTTTTACTTCTAAGTATGTATAGTAGTTTCATTTTGTGAATTTACTTATCTCAAGAACCATTTACAGGGTAGAACAGCCTGCAATATAGAAACTATATAGTTTTGTAAAAAATAACAAGATGAGAATTTTGCATTCTGTTTATTTAAGCCAGTTATATACATACATATTTATCTACTTGTATACAAATATTTCTTATTTACAATGCTTTTCGAATTAAGTATGGAATTATCTTAACAACTGTTCAGAACTTCGATTATAGTAATTTAAATTTCAACAAAATTTTACGCTTTCCTTTTTCGCGAATCTTTCTATTATTCTTTCAGTGTCAATTTTAATATCTCTTTACATATACATCTAGTGTACATGAAAACTGCTACTACCTACCAGGGTTGTTGCGAATATTCGCATTCGCATGCGGAACCGCGGAGCTTCCGCTTCTATAACGAGAATCAACAATTTGCGCGGTAAAAGATAATCTTTCATTAGGTAAGAATTGTGTAACTATCGAACATTAAAAAACTGGATGCATCGCTAGTTTTTTTCTACATAAGTGTAATAATTTTTTTTTTTTTCATAAGACGGCTTATTATGATTAAGTTCCGTGTTTTCTCTTATTACTTAGCAGAAAAACACTGTTTTTACTACTCAAATACTCCTATGTGTGCTCGAAAACAACAACATGTCAAAATTTGCACGTAGCGAAATAAAAGTAAAATGGAATGTGAAAA